TCATCATGCATTTAAGTATTTGAATACGTTTCCTTACATCCATTTATGGGCTAAACATGTGAGCAACGACGTTGTAAGAAAAACTGTGAAAGGGGTACTTATACTTAGGATCAGTAACGACACTTAAAATTTGTAAGACACATCATGAGGAAAGAGACGTTGAAAAATGTCACACTCACATGACGCATTGAATGCAAGAGGATAGTAGCAAATAACCTACAAGTTTGTGTAAATGGTTAGTAGAACTGGGATTAAAAGAGATAGTAAAAGACAAACATTGCTAAGAGCTACAAAGGACAGAAAGTTGTGAAGAGCCATAATCGCCGAAGGGACATGGCACATAGAAGAGAAAGTTTCAAATGGGAAAACAATAAAACGGAATCGTCTCGTCATATATTAATATATATGTGAATGTAATATAGTATGAATGTTTCATTGTAGATACTTACTAAACTTAGTCGAGTCAGCCAACAAAGTCGTAATAGTAGAATACCCAACAAGGATCTAACGTATCATATTAAGGAACAGATCCACAAGACTAATTTTATTATCATCGATTTAGAGCTTTATTTTGGGATATGTTATCTGTATTCACTTTCTTCCTCATAACCATTTTGTCTAACGTTGGGATGAACCTGTAAAAGATTTCAATACAGAGGAGATTAAAAAAAAAGAAATGACTTTAAAATTAGCTATTAGCCCTGGAATTATCTCCCTTGGTATGACTCTTATTTTATGTCAATTTATACTTGAGGTATTAGAAATTACTTGGAGAACAGTAGCCAGATTTGATTAGAACTTGCTTAATTCTTCAAATTTGTATATTGTAATTGTATTACGCTGGTAAAGATTAACATTCGATTTACTATTTTTGTTTCTAACTGTAAATTAACACGACTCAACATATAGAAATAGAAGCATTATGATGTAGAAAACCATATTTAAGAGATTCAGTGTTGAATTTTATGAGATTGACGAAAATTTTTCGTCCTATTTTTGTTGTTAGATACCATTATAAACATTTCAATTTATCTAATTCAGTCAAAATTATCCCTCTTGATTGTATTGTGATAACAGTTATATTAATAAGCATTAATTTAAATTGTAAAAATTACCGTAAATTTGCTTATACTTATAAATGAGAAAATGGCTGAAAATAACATTTTAGTTTCAGAATGTTATGAAGGTATTGCGAATAATTGTTGCTCCAGATATTTCGCATAGTTCAGATTGTTAACGATACAATCAATATATTGCTTTAAAATAATCAACGGAGGGTAGCCAGCCCACTCCAAATCATGTGATAAAATTAGTTTCAAATCGAAAGGTAAGCGAAATGAAAATACCATAAAATGTGCCAAAGACTGGTCTATATCCAAAGAATATATAATTTAATGATAATGGAATGGGATCATCTACTGTAAGTAATTTAAAGTCAACAGAACTTTTTTATTCAGTATTGTACTTCTTCAAATTTGAATAACAGTAATTGACGAAAATTGTTCCAAATTAGATAAGAGAAAGGACGTAATGTTCGATGCAAATAATGCAAAACCACATGCTTCTTTGCCGAACAGCTAAAAATGATTACAATTTATTCATTTATTCACGATATTTGACTTTCGAATTGTCTTTGGTTAGATCTTGTCAGAGTTATTTTCTGAAAGAAAAATATCCTAGATGATTGCTAAAGGCACCTACATATGCAATTTACCGAAAAGATTTATAGAAATAAGTTCTGGGAAATTTAAATCAGAAAGTCGATCGCGATATGCCAGAAAATAATGGAATGAAACATTAACATTTTGTTTTACAAAATTAATGACGATAATAATAAAAAAACATTTTTTTAATCTTTACTTAATAAAAAATAACGTGAGTTTTGTTGAAATGAAGATTTAAAATACTTTGCAGTTGTTCAGACTGAACAAAAGGTTTTACAGAGCAAGAACATCTGTCATATTTCTGATCATGTGTCGATCTCCGACATTAAAGATTGATCGTGCAGTAAAAGCGAATTTCACGACTGTTGATATTCACTAAATCTTTAAAGTAAATATTTGGTATTAAACTAACCATTAGCCAGTGCTTTGATTGAATTGTTATGAAAAATATCAAACAAATTGAAATGTGATCATTGATGAGAAATAATTTCAAAAACGAGTTTTCATAATATTCAGAAACGTAAAAAATTCTAATTATTTTTTTCTTAATTAAAAAGCCATTTATTATTATTATTTGTTTATTTTTTGTCTTGAAATTTTATTGGAATTTGATTAATGAGGTTAATTGATAACGGATTAAGAATATTTTTGCCTGTTTTTTCTAGCATTTAAATTCTAAGCTCATTTATTTCGTCATGTTTAAAGATCAAAATCAGTTCTCTTTTATAAATGATTTCATATCATTATTTGGAATTTCAAAACAAATTATTAATTTTCTAGAATTTATCAATTTTTAGCTTGGTCTTAAAGACTCATTATTTTCAGATTACATATGTTTACAGTAAAATTAAGAGATTAATTTAAAAGAAAAATATTAATAAAATGCTCTGAATATTATTATTTTTTCATGCGATCGAAAAAGTCTTTGTGGCTTTAATGACTTTTTTGAATCAGAGTGAAAATCAATAATATAACATTCAGAATTGCATATTTACTATAGAAACGTGTTTGTTTAAAAATTATCTATTTCTTCTTTTATGTGCCACATCAAGGTCTAGCCTTTACGGCTAGGATCCCCAATGCTATTCATATTGTAGCAAATCACCCTCACTCACTCCGCATTCCATTAGTGAGAAGTAAATTCTACTCGAGTAGTTTATTCCCAATAACTGTGGAACTGACTCCCAAGAGGATGTTTTCCCGATCAATAAAATCTTAACATGTTCAAGTCTAGGGTTAACCGTTATCTTCCCCACCTATCCGCATAAACTGACCCTCTTATTCTGTAAACCCCAACCTTTGAGTTGCCCTCAGGCATTGTACAGGGTAAAACTCGCTGTAAAAAAATCTTCTGTCCAGCTTATCATTAGCATTCTTCGCTAGAATTTGATTTCTAACACTTCAAGGTGGTTCTATATTTGTGGGCAAAGTGTTTCTAACGATATTTTCTCATATTTTCCTTTCTGATTCTGCCATAAATACAGTGTCACATGCGAATTTTGGGATTAATTAGTATTATGTTCACCAATAATAAATACTGGTATTTCTAATTGCATTAGGATATACACGGTATCTGATAAATGATTTAAGACAATTTGGAAATCTGGAAATTACACAAGCATAAACATTGTAAAGCAGTGATAACCACAATTTACAGTGATATATATAGATATGTGTGCGTGTATTTGTGTACGCCAGGAACTGCTCTCCTGTTTATTTGTTTTTGTTTTCCGTGCAAATCCCTCTCTGCCTAATAAACGGACAGAAAGGAAAAAAAAGAAAATGACCAATTTTTTTTTTGTACAATTATAGGATAATTTGAAAGAGAACATCCCATGGAAAGTGAAACAATAAAAATAAAAGTGGATGACAGATGAAAATCTCGACATGATGAAAAAGAGACAGCAAACAATGACAAGACATAGTACAGAATAAAGAACATTGAATATAAGCATTAGAAACAAATGTAGGGTGGGCTAAAAATAGGAATGGTTCAACGAAAAGTACGCAGAGATAGAAAGGAAGATAGATATGGTAGTTATGCATTAAAAAATGTAGGAAATAACAGAACAGAATAAATGGGAAAGTGGGAAAGCTACAATACACAAAAATATGGAAGAACTTGAAATTATAATGTCTGAGGTAGGATCAGCACTGACCAAGTTAAACAGGACAAAGCAGCAGCGCTAAATGGATTTGTAATAGAGATGTTGGCAGCTTTAGATGATTTTGTCACTGAGAAGGTTAAGGAAATATTAAATATGAAACATTGGTGAAATAACTGAAGACCTTACTAGATCCGTCTTAGTGGCGTTGCTTAATAAGCCAGGTACAAATGAATGCGAGCTCTATCGGACAATAAGCTTATCATCCGGATTATTATGTCAAGAACTTGTATAATTTGATCGAAAATCAAGCAAGAACGATGTGGTTTCGTTAAAGATACTAGAAGTGAATGATATAGAGAGCAATAGAAAAGCAGAAAGACGTATGCCTATGTTTCTTAGACTACGCAAAAGCATTTGAAAAAATACAACACAATGATCTATTTGAACTGATAGGAAAACTTTATTTGTTGAAGACATTAGAATAATCCAAAATATAAAAGGAGATTAAAATACCTGCATACGGATAGATAAAGAACTGAATACGTACACACAAACAGAAAGAGGCATAAGTCAAGAATGGGTCTTCTTATTTATTTAACCTTTTGCAACGAGAAAGTCCTAAGAGAACTCAAAGTTCTAACAGTACTTATTATTGGTGGGCAGTCTTAATAACATAATATATACAAATGATACCATGTTGATCGTAGACATATGCGCTCCTAAAGAGTATAGTAAAGGAAAGCAGCAAGAAGAGACTAAAAACCAATTGTAAGTAAACAGAATAAATGATTGTAAGGAGGGAGGGCCCGAGAAGCTAGCTACAAATTGGAGATATCAAAATAAAGCAAGTGAAGAAATTTAAATATCTCTAGAATGTTATAATTGATTATGAAAAATGTGACACCTAAATCCGAGGGCGAAAGATGTGTTTCAAAAGCTAAACAATATTAGAGTATCTATATAAACAAAGGATAAAAATTCTTTATATATGTTACGATACGTACGCCAGTTTAATAGCAATATAGGGAAATTAAATTTTATGCGATTTTTACTGCAATGAATTTAATTTTATTTTCTCGAAAGATAAAAACATCAATATCGATGAGGAACAAATATATTTACATATGCCTTTAACATTTAAACACTGCCTTCTTATTTCATGTGAAATTTTTTGCCATTCACTTTTCTTTTTTTTTTCTTTTATCTCTTTTCATTTTCGTTCTTTTTCATGTATAATCCTCTCATTCTTTATCATTTTGTTTTGCCATTTTCTTTCTTTTTCTCTTTGTTTTCCTTCCTTTCATTCTTCTTTCTTTCTTTCACGTTTTCTTAGTTTTATCCGCTTTTATTCTATTATCATTCCCTATTATTTCTCTTTTTTTCTGCATTTTGTGTTATTTTTTAATTTTTTCTCATTTCCTATTCTTTAGCGACATTTCTTTTTCCTCTTTTCCTTCCATCATTCTTTATAAACTCTTTATGTCTTTATTCTCTATCACTATGTTCTCTTGTTTCTTTAGTTTTATTGTCCTTCTTTCATTTTATATGATTATCTATATTCTTTTCTATGTTCCGTCATTCTTTATTACTATCTCTTTCTTTATGCTTCATCAATTTCTTCTTTCCTTTCCCGCTTCCTTCATTTTCTATAACATGCCCCATTTGTTCAGATATTTCTTTCTTCATTCTCACTATTTCTTCCTTTTTTCTTGTCTTTTTCTTTATCATTCTATTTTGTTTCTCCATTTTTAATTTTATATCAGTGCATTCTCTATTCTTTTCTATCACTTTCTTTTTCTTTCTTTAATTTCTATCCTTCAGTCTTTCCCTTTTTCTTCCTTTTTCTTCTCTATTAATTTTTCTTTCATTTTTTCCTCCATTCATTATCACTCTTTTACTTCTTCTTTCTCTATAACTCTTTCTTTTTTTCCATTTCTATTACAGTTTATTTCTTTCTAATTCTACCTTCATTTTTTACCTTGCGGCCCTTTTTTCTCTTTATGTGTCTTTCTCTCTTCTCTCCTTGTCTTTCACTCTCAATTTCTCCCTCCTTTCTCTTTTCGTAATTTTCTCTTCGTATTATTTTAACTTATCTCTCTCTATCTCTTTTAATTTTACTTTATTTTCCTCTCTTTATTACATATTCTCTTCTCTCCCCATATTTATTTTTGTCTAATTATTTTTCCTCGATGCTTTTCTTAGACACTCTATGTCTTCATTCTCTCTCACCCTTGTATTTCTATTATTTTGCTATTTTTCATGTTTTTTCCCAATGAATATTTTGCATTGAACTTTCAGCATCCATTTAACTTTAGAAATGGGCACATGCAACATCATGTTGCATTCTCCGTTGTTTCCTGGGTCTCTTAAGACTTGACCCAAATCAATTCTCTCACGCCTGACCACTATGAAGGAATGACATTCGCAACAGTATTTGAAATCAAGGAATCAATAAAATGTGTTCTTCTGGAAGAGGAGTTCTCCTAGTCTGACAAAGATGTTGCCTATCTTAAAAGTAAACTCAGCAACAGTAATTCAACCACAATTAAGCAGAGGAGGAAATTTACACCACGTCATCGACATATTCAAAATAACTCGTGAAAGATTAAATACCGGCTCACTGCATAAAAATGGAACCATACTACTTAATTCGATCTATAAAAGGCGTTCTTCGAAATGTTTTGATCTGCCTCATTCCCCAAATCTTTATTTTGATGTTTGGTCATTAAAATACATATACTGAGAATGGATCAGATAGATAAGCTGTCAACATTCCCTTGTAAGTAAATTAGAGATAAATTGCTTAACTTGCGACAGCACAGATATTTAAATCTGTGCTGTCGCAAGTTAAGCAATCAGAGGAAATCAAAGTAGGTAAGTTTTCTTATGACAATATTTTAATTGCATACCTCATTATAAAAAGAGCATTCGAAGTTCTGGTGTTTAATCATTTATTTTTTCCATAGACGAGAAAACTATTCTCAGTTACCAATGCGAACTCCCTATTTCAACCAGAGAACTGTTCAGTTCTTTCTCTCGTTTTCTCTCCCTCTGTCTTATCTTCGCAATATTTTATAACTGACATTAATTTTTTTCTGCTTTTCTTCTAGTTTAATTTCACATTTTTGTCGACATTACTGATCGTAACTTACAACAATACTAGGCCTATGGTGAAAAATAGTGATATGAAGATTATGTTACCCCCAACTTCCGATTAGAAAGATTGTTAGGGAAAGCTTTTAATCAGGTAAACTCAAAAATTTAGCACTCGAAACCAACCATGGTCTTTAAGTGGGGAGCACACTATTTGGCGAGTCAAACTGGCAAAGCTAAATAGACTAAATTCTTCTTGGTGCTGTGTTCATTTCCACGTGAGCAATAATGGCTCTCCACAAATTCCTATCAATAGTGGCCATTTAGCCATCCATTCCAACCCAGTTCCGTTATGCATTAACAGTAGTTCGTCAGATACGTAGCCCGTTGTCTCTCCCTGTCCTTGCTAGCGATATGTCTTGTGAAGATCAAAATCGCCGAGACCTCCTTTCTTATTATGTGTCCAAGAAATTTAAGATGATTTCTTTCTGATTCTATCTCCTCGACAACCCCATTTTTCCTAAGACTTCTTTGTCGCTTACGTGCTTCGTTCATGGTATTCTCACCCTCCTTCTGGAGAATCATATATCTGTTCCCACCAGTCTTCTCTTCATCTTTGAGGAAATTAACTGGCATATAAGGAGATTGATATTATGTAGCAGTTCACCTTTCTTATTTGTTTATAACGAAATTTTATTGTTGCTTATTATATTTCTTACTTTTTATAAGGTATCTTCTGTTATTCTAATGCGCGTTCGGATTTCAGTCTCGCATTTTCCATACTGTTCCTACAACGTCTTTTTCATCTGTTTTCTCCGCTTCATGCCACTTTGGCAAACCACGAGACAAAAAAATACAAGTCATGATATATATATATATATATATATATATATATATATATATATATATATATGTGGTGCGTCTTCGAAAACTTTTTGTTTTCTTAACCATTTAGGGTGGACTCTAATTTTACTTCACAGGTGATAATCAAAAGCTGCTTTCTCGAGAACGGATCTTTGCATTTTTTTGTCCCATGTCCCTTCAGGACATGGGCGATCAGATCCCTCCACATCTTTTCGTCCCTTTTAGCTCTTAATAAGTTTTCTCTTTTTGTTATTTCTCCCAAACCCTGCTCTGCCATCCATTTACTCAAGCTCATCAAGTTACGCGCTTCCTTCCTCTGTCCCTTTCCCCCTCAATCTGCTCTGTGAGTATCAAATGTTCCAAGCCCTCTTTCCTCACTACGTACCCCAGTGATTTCAATTTCTGATGTTAAGTATAAGCTTCCATTTTGTTTACATGTTCTCTTAAACCTTTTCGTGGTTCACATTTTTCTGTCCGTGGTATCTTCAGCATCTTTCTGTTGCTTCAAGTCTCTTCTTCTTTGAGGAGATTGTCCAGCATTCACTGCCAATGTAACAGTTCAATAATCTTTTCTTTGTTTCTAACGAAATTTTCCTGTCTCTTAATACTCTGCTTAGCTTTTGGAATGCACCTTTGTACATCGGAATACGTCTTCGGATCTCAGTGTCGCACTTTCCTTCCTCTGTTAGAACACTTTCTTTGCTTATGACATGAAATATATCTTTTCGATTTAAAAATTGGGATGGACTCTAATCTTACTTCACTAATGATAATCAGAATCTGTTCTCTTGAGGACGGATATTTGCTTACCAAGCATGAAATATATATTTTTAGATTGTATCGTCTGAAGACGAAATCAAATCAAACTTTAACGTGAAATCTCTCAGTACTTTTATCTTCTCTCTTTCACATATCTAACTCGACTTTGTATCTTACTTTTTTTAATTTTACTTGTATTGTATTTTTGTCATTCTTCTAAGATTTGCTTTTCTGGTAGAATAGATACAAGTCAGGATGGAAAATGTCTTCACACTGTGTTTTGTTTGTTCAATCTGTTTTCTTTCAATGAGAGAGCAGTTTCTTTAATCGCTGCCTAGATTTTGTGATTCATTTATACGCTTCTTTCAACCAAGCCATCCTATTTTTCTTTGATTTTCTCTACTTTTTAACTCCTTTTTTATTCTCTCGATCACATATCATTCTGTCTTTGATCAACTTCTTATCCATTTCTTTGAGTTTATTCTCCTTTCGCTCTCTCTTTGAATCTCTCCTTATCTATATTTTTCGCTCCCTTCATCTCTCTCATTGACTCCGTTTTCTTCCTCTCTTTTTTTTTTTTTAAAAATATTTCCTCTTTCTTGATTCTCTCCTTCGTACCCTTTGACTATCTCTTTCTTTGAGTTTCTTATTTTCATGCTCTCTGTTTGATTGTCTCTTTCGATTTCTCTTTGATTTCCCCGTCTTTGGCACTAGCTTCGATTTATTTGAATACTTATCTACGATTCATTCCTTCTCTCTCCTTTCGATACTCTCCTTACTTTTCTCTCCATTATTTTCGCCTTCTCTATCTGTTTTTAATTTCTATTTTCCCTCACTTTAACTAACTTTCATTGATCGTCTTCATTCTCAGTCTCTCTTTAAAACATTTTTGAAGGTGGGCGTTAAAAGGTTATAGCTAGAAATCTATAAATTTTTTATACACGTATAGTTATTACCATTTTGTTTTTAGAAACTAATACTGAATTCTTTATAAAGTTGTAATTATTACCTGAATTTTTTTTTATATAAACCTAATAAATACCGGATTTTTGTAAATCTATAATTAATATCGAATTTTATTGGTAAATAGAAAAATAGTCAGTCTTTCTATTATTTATATATTTAATTTCTAATAGTTTTCAGAAATTTCTCAAAAGTATTTGCAGAAGATAAACTTCAAACCGTTATCAAATTGGTATAACGCATTCTCCTGGATACTATTTGGCATTTCTTTTTTTTACTTGTACAGAATGCGATGGATAAATTATCGTCTAAATTACGCAAAAAGGAAAATAACACCGACATCACATTTTAACAGATATATTTACCGAAATTACACAAAATATCTTGAAATACTAAAGAGTAAATTTATTTCATAAAAATCGCCATTAGCATTAGCGTTCAGACGACTTCGGAATCTCTTGCAACTCTTCTGGATGGTCTCCTTGTTTAAGTTGATGAATGCTGCCATAATCCTTGCCTTCAGTTCATCTTTCGGGTTACAAGTTACGAGTTTTGATCTCTCGCTCAACTGCGCGCCACATATAATAATCAAGGGAAGTCTGAGGAGTTGGGTGGCCAGATGTAAGAAGTGATGTAGTCGCAGAAATTGTCCGACAGCCATGAGTGAGTTCTCCTGCTTGTGTGAGGTTGCCAGACACGGAACCTTCCACCCTCTTAACTCAGGGCAGCACTAACTCTTCAAGGCACTTGATGTAGGCCTCCATATTGAGTTTGAAGCTCTCACCAATAAATTCAGTCTTTTCTTATCAGAACGATCAAAGTGAGTTTCCCCAGCTGCCTTATCTTCGTAAGCAGATTCAGACTCATACAACTCTTTCCAAACCATCTGCAATATATAAGCTTGACGCCCAAACACTCTGAAATGTTCGTATTGGAGCTTCCGGCGCAAATATAAATCATTACAGCGCAAATATAAATCATTACGGCGCAAATATAAATCATTATACTGTTTCCAAATTTCTGCATCATGGTGTTTTTTTTTCACAAAGACGGTGCACAGTCGACAAAATAATAATAAAAAAAAACAACGCTCATACGCGAAATTAAAAATATAAAATGGTGACAATTTACCCATCGCACCCCGTATGTACCGTTTTCTTTCAGGACGTAGGCGATCATAGCTCTACAAAACTTTCTATCCTACGTTGCTCTAATCAATGTTTGTCTTATTTACTATCCTTCCCAGCGCTTGTTCTGCCATCCATTCACGCAAACTCGTT